ACAGCCTGAGAGAGACTGTCAAAGTAAAACAGGAAGTACACAGAGAGCACAGACATAACGGGCTGGGGAAAACATTGAATGAAACACAAGGAGAGGAGACGAGGGCTCACAGTTACACAGAGGGGCACACAGGGGGTAAAGGTCACAAGGGGAAATCAAATAAGGAACAACTTAACAACCCAGGAACCTAAATGAAGAACAAAATACAAGAATACATGAAAACTAAGAATGCTGGCCCAGGATCACGACACCTACTGCTGTGAAATATTGCACTTTTCCTTATATTTTCTTATCTATATATCTTTGCCTATTTACATATTAGGATACAAGATATTAAGATAAATGGGGACACAGTGGGCCGGTGAATCTTGCAAAGTGCCTCTAATTGAATATAACTGTATAATATTACTGAAATCACTATAATAGGTCCCTTATAAGCTGTAGTATGTTGATCCTTTAAAAGCTTTTGGTGATCTTTTATTTTTTCCACAGTTTTTCTTTGAATCTTTTATGTAATAAATCTTTCATTTTCTAACTTTATCCCACTTTGCTCATCTGATTTTCAGCATGCGTTTTATATTCACTTTCATGGAGCCTCTGTTTATTGTCATCTCACCCTCTTGACATTTTGGCAGTAACACTGACTTTGAGTTGTCGTACCTGTGACCTGCAGACAGGTCGAGGACATAGTGAAAGACAGACATTTGGAGAGGTGGGAGCAGAACGGTGTGCATAGAATAAAACGGCATTATAAAAAGCAGGAGCTTTCTTTGGCTTCTTCTCTCCTTCCCTGTGTGCGTCTGCATAACAGTGCAGGTGTGTGTGTGCGTTTGTGTGTGTGTCCAGTGTGTGTGCCTCCCTGGGTTGAGTAGGTCAAATGCATTTGACGTGGAACACAATTCGTCTGATTTGCCAGTGCACACATGCATGCCTGAACTCTGACCTTTGGAGAGCTGCATTTATTCTATCCATCTATGTGGCACTTTGATAACATTAAAGGTCAGGAATCCTCATAAACCTGGAATTAATCCATTAAAAATATATATTTCTGGATGTCTGTCCCCTCTTGGACAGCTGACAACAAGCTAACTAGACAATAACAATAGCTGGTTATAAGCTAACATTTTGTTAGCTAATGTTAGCCTAAAAATGACACTTTCTCTCAGGTAAACAGCGTACGTTCTCACTTTATATGAGAGTTTATTCCCTGAGTGCTTGAGGCTGTTAATGTTTAGTCCAATTTAAAGAAAGTTTCTCTAATTCTGGGTAACAGCTGCAAAAAACGCAGCGCTTACCTGCAGAAGAGTTCAGGATATCCTCAACAACTCTCCTTATTATAACTGTGAACAGACAGAAGTGAGCTTCACTAACTCTTCAACATGTACCGGACTTCTTTCACACGGCTGATGTAAACAGGGACCTGACAGCCTGTACTACAGATGGTGGGCTGAGATGCTTGTCCTACAGTGACCACTGTAGCTAGAATTATTGGATCGGGGTTTGCACTGTACCTTTAAGAGGAAAAATGCAGTTAAAGATGCATTTTTCCTCTTAAAGGTACAGTGCATACCCCGAACCAATAATTCTATCTACAGTGGTCACTGTAGCTAGAATTATTGGATAGGGGTTTGCACTGTACCTTTAAGAGGGAAAATGCAGTTAATTTTTACCATAACATGTGCTTTTCTCTAAGCTTTTCTATAAATATACCAAGTGATAGCAACATAAAGAAAAAGAATACCAAGGGCCAATGAGAGGAGCTCGTGAAGATGTGCAGGGTGAAGGCAACAGTGCTGCATGTGGTAGTCGGAGCACTCGGAGCAGAGTATTTGAGAAGGGGCCAAACTGTGATGGATGGGGTTAGTGCGTTTTCCAAACTGCTGCTGTGTTCCCTGTCTATCAAAAGTGATGAAGGAGGGACGGTAAATATTAAATAAAGAAATATGAAGGTACAATTTAAATGAGGGTCTTTGCTAAGCCAACGCTGGTTCGTCCTTTGTGTTGAGGAAAACGTTCTTCTGAAGCGGCAGTCAGTGCAATAAAGAGGTTTGATAGTAATTATTTCCCACTGTGGATAGCTTCATCATTTTACTGGTGTGTTCCACTGTGGGAGGAGAAATCAAACATCTCTTAGGATGAAAGTTTTTCTATTTTGTTACTTTGTTTGCTACATATGAAACATCTGATTATGAAATGATGGCCTTCGATAAACCTGTGGTGCTTCATTTATTTAACTGATCAGACGCCCTCTCAGTTCTGTGTGGAAACATTTGTGATTGACATCTTCTCCATTTTTATTTTCCAGTTCTTAAAATGAGACCTGCACACACTTGTGTGGGTTTAAAGTGTGTTTTTAAGAGTAATAAAAATGATAAGAACCAATACTTCAGAAGAAAATGCTAAAATTAAAACATGATGCCAGATGTTTTTGTAATGC